AACCTTAAGAAAGTGAAGAAAAACAGTAAAAACAGCGTAATAGAAAATAGTTGTTGAAGTACTGTGGCAGTGTGAAGAGTGGATCAGACCTGTGGCCGACTGGGACCTCAGCCCGGCAGCGACCCTCCCAACACCACGTGGGGAGACGCTTGGAGATTCACTCACCTATTGTGTTATCAGGCCGGTAAGGTACTTGGAACCCCTGTGGGTAAGGTTGGATTATAGCAATGACTAGGTCAGGAAGGGCGTCTAGGTCCAGCAGTATTATGATTGAAGAAGAGGACAGGTTTGTGGAGAAGATGATTGGGAAATTTGTAGAGAAGAAAGATGTTTGGATAGATGATCTAATCCAGGGGATTAAAAGTGAAATCTTTAATAAGATACAGGACGAGGTTCAAAGGCCCCAGAGTTTATGGATTATATTCAAGAGAAAATCAGGAAGAGCAGGGAAGAATGGACAGGAGAAATAACTATGTTTACAAATGAATTTGGCAGGAATAAGGGAAGGGGGAGTAGTGGGGGATGGAGTAGCGAGTGTGAGAGGGGTGGGGGTCAGCCAGGGTGGAGGCGACCAGCATGACCCTGCACTGAGAAAGAGGTCAATCATAAGCCATGGATTACTTGAAGCCAGGGCACCATCAAGGCAGGAAAGAATGGGGATTGAAGATTTGGAGCTACAGGGGATCTTGGGAGATATCAGAGCCCAGATGGCAGGGAATGAGGTGCAAGTCCACCGACGCATTGGGCCTTGCAACTGTGACAAGAAACGACCTGTCCTGGTACAGTTCACTAACGAAGAGGCAGTGGATTACATACTGCATCACAAACACTTACTCAGAGGTAGCGAAAACTACTACAAGGTGTATATTAACAGATACATGACAAAAGAGGAACAGATAGCCTACAGGGCGAGCAAACCTCCACGATACAACTCTTCCCATTTGAGCGTAGCTGCACACCCCAGTGCTAACCCGCCCCATGCCCCACCCTGTGCTAATCAGCTCACACTTGCTTCCCAGGTCACTCCCTCCCCAAATCAGCCTCCCTGCCCCTGCTTATCTCCCCAACACCTCCCCTGACCCCTCAGACCACATTTCATTCAAATCCATCTTCTTCATCCCACATTCCCAGGACCCCCTCATCCCCTCAACCCCCAAAACCTGCCAAGCCCTCACCCCTCCTCATCCTCTCTCCTTCCATATGACCCCCTACCCTTGTGAGGGGGGGCACATGGACCCCCCTGTGGGAGATGGGGGGACCCCCCACCTCTTCCTCCATTTCCCTCTTCCCCCCTTCTTCCCCAATGCCCACACCTACCCCTGAGTTCCCCCTGACTAATACAACCTCCCTCCCATTCTCAGTACCTATGTTCCATCCGCCCCTCTTCCCCCCCCCACCCCCTCTATCCTTCTCCCCCGAACCTCTCAACCTCTATCTGACTCTCAACCTTACACTACCTCTCAACCCCTCCATGCCTCTCAGACCCTCCCTAATCTTCAGACCCAGTATACCCTTCCTACTCCAGACCTACCTACCCAGGCCCTACCCCAGACCTTCCTACCCAGGCCCTACCCCAGACCTTCCTACCTACCTTCCTAGATGCCCAGCCCCCATTCGTCCCCCCCAAGCAACCTTTCCGACCCCTTTCACTCCCAGACACCCCCTGGATTCCCCCAGACACCCTCCGGATCCCCCCAGACACCCCCTGAATCCGCCCAGCCCCCATTCACCGCCAGACACCCCCCCAGACACCCCCTGAATCCGCCCAGCCCCCATTCACCGCCAGACACCCCCCCCCAGATCCCCCAGAGAAAGGGCGAAATCGGGTACCAGAGTTTCCATGAAGAATCTCAAGGTTAGGTACACCAATGCTGATGGGGTATCTAATAAAGCAGAAGAGATGAAAGAAAGAGTGAGTGAGGCAGATCCTGACATAATTGCGATAGTGGAAACAAAAATAAATGACATGATCTTGAATGTAATCTTTCCAGAGGGCTACCAGGTGTTAAAAAAAAGAGAGGACACAGAGACAGAGAGGGTGAGTGGCACTCCTAATAAAGCAGAAATGGAAGTTTGAAGACCAGGGAAATAGGATTGTAATGGGGGGTGGGGGAAATAGCTCTCTCTTGTCCATTATTCCACCCCACCCCCCAGTTAACTAACGAGGCCGGGGGAAACAGCTCTCTCTAGTCCATTATCCCGTCCTCAGTTAGCTAACTATTCTAGAGCACCCCCCCCCCCCAGAGTTCCTACGGCAGCCTCTCTCGTTCAACACCTTGTAACCTAGGTATTTGACTACCTAGGTGCAGGTACTACAAGGCGCCGTAACTTGATCAGCTACCCGAAACCCTAGAGAACTCTAGAATACATTTCACTGCCACAAACGTATAAGAGAAACGAAAGGGAAGAGATGAATAATAAAGTAATTAGTGAGGGTTTGGGATGAGAGAGGTAGGGAGGTGGGAGGAGCGAGGAGGGTCATTAGTTGAAAGGGAGAGTACGGAGAGGGGTGGTGGGAGAGGAGTAGATAGGTAGAAGTAGAAAAGTAGATAGTAGAAGAAGAAATGCTGCTACCATCCATTCAAGACCATTACATACAAGACAAGGAATGGAACTTGTCTGTATCACAAAATTCTCAAAGATGTTAACACGAGGTCATTATTAGTATGTCCCATCTGTATCATGTACTCATTAAATCATGAACCCAGTAATCACAGAGGCTTTCTCACCTCAACTCAAAAACTCTAGGGAACACAGTTAAAGACAATTTAACTAATAAATTCATCAATTATATTTCACATAAGTATCATAATTTAAGCAATTCAAATGTTCAAGTTTAATATACAAAGTGAGTCATCATCCAAGAATTCGAGAACCCTACAACTGTCTGCCCCTGATCCTCACACAACAGTTGTAAACACGACCAAGTCACCTTAATGTTCAACTCACCAAGTGTCTGCCTATAGCTGGATAGAGAGGGAGGGGGGGTGTCTGCAGTTGTCAGGCAGCGTCACCCCCCGTCCGGCGACAGCCTATCTCGACGGCTGGCCTCTGCTCTGCTCTGCTGGCTGGTCTATCGCTCCTCTATGCTCTGCTCTCCGAGTAT